GTCACTGCACTTTCTGGATCTTAATTGTCTCCCCAACACCCCAGATGGTTTCCATAGAAGGCAGTCAATGTCATATTCAAAGGTGTTGAAAGCCAAGGATTATGGAATAGCCACAGACCTGCCTGATCATACTTGGATAGTAAGCATAAGAAGACATAGCATAAGAAAGAGCAGATGTCATCAGCAGCTGTTTTTCTGCCTCTCAACACTGTTTAATTTCAATACACAAGCAGAACAGGAGTGGAATAGGAATATACACCTGGTGGATGTTGGATTCTTGCACCTTGATCTCTTGAGGGCTGGATCGGGAGGGGTTCAAAAAGTAGCTATGGCTCTCCACCACACCAGGTGTCTTCAGAAGACATGAGATGTTCAAGATGGCTCCCAGCAGCGTCTTCTGGTACAGCTGTCCATTGGCTGGATCCTTTGGTTGGATGTACTCAACAAAAACCTGAACAGAACACGATTGTTGGTCATATCAGAATTTCACTCCAATACCACCCACCTGGAATATTGAGGCAGAGAAAAGTGATTGGCCTTTCTCCCAGGTGAAAGGTGAAGGCATCAGGGGATTCTAATTCATCTGGGGGTGGGTGGGACAACTAAGGACTCACTTTGGCAATATCCTTTTGCTTGGTGAAATAGAGGAGCATATCCAGATAAGAGTACAACAGGATCTGGCACAGATGTAGCTCCCGGATTCGCCCTAAGAGGATGTCGAAGACAGGGACCATGACCTCCTCAAAAGTCCTCACTTCCTCATCCATAGTGAGCCCCTCAATAACCTCCTCCAGGAACTCTGTTACATCTTCAAAGTCTATGGGGGAGAGAGAGTATGAGTTTTTAAAAAGGATATATTTGGAGAGCTGCCATGAACTGGATCCCGTTAGCTTATCCTGGGGCATCAGCCTTTGCCAACTCACGAGCTCCTCTTAATGACTCCAGCATCAAATCCACCAACTGCTCATAGACATTCTGGTTGACGTAGATCTCTGGGGTTAGGAAGAGGGTGTGGGTGTTGGACACAGTCAGATTTCTGCAACGCACTGCAAAAGGCAACAGGTTCTCTGGCACTTTGGTGATCTAGAAGAACAGAGGAGAACAGGTGATCTCTGGCCCATTCTGTTCAGGACAATATGCTGCTTGGGCACGATAATGAGGGTTGACCCACCTCCTCCTTTGCCCTCTGGAAGCAGGCAAAGAGGTAACGTAGGATGTGCTTCTCTCCTGCATCTCTCTCTGCTGAGAGATTCTGTATGCCAGTTGAAGTCATGTGGATCAAGTGATTCCCTGGTTCTGGGAGCAACAGTCGGGTGAAAAGAGCCTGGGGAAACACATCAATCCAGAATATAAGTGCTCCCTCCCAGCACCTGGAGAAAGAGCCTAGATCTCATTCACATCCATTTGCTTATGCAACGACATAATGCAGCACCAGCCAGGTCTTTCACACGCTTCTCCAAATCAACCTGATTATCAGATAAGAAGCAGACAGCTCAAAGGACCCAACTGTTCCATGCAAGGTGAAGTTGCCCGATTCAAAAAAAGGGACTATAAAGCCAACCAAGCAAACATCATAGTAAGTGGGCAGCAAAAGGCCTCTAGGCACAAGGTATGCTGGCTTGGGGAAGCGTCTTTTCCTTCCCACAGGCACAGGGATCAGTTGGTCTGAAGACCAAAGCTGGCTTCCTCCAGTCTAGTGAAAACCCCATCAGATGCTTGCATGCAGTGACCTGTTCCACATTCTCCATGTCCAGCCAGTCCTGATCCTCAAGGTCTGCAGCCATTTCCTCCAGGTAGACACACCGTGCAGGAATGCCATTTCCACTCTTCAGGTTGGGGTCACCTAGAGAAGGAGAAATCACCAAAGCAGCAACAACAGAATCCCAAAAGAATTCCATGTTCAAAACCATTCCTCCCTCCCCATCAACCACTTCAACTCATATGCATTTTGGCTTCTTGGCTTGGCAGATGTTAAAACACAGCCTTCTTCAAGATGGAGCTCTCACGCGTTGAACTACAGCTCCCAGACTTCCCAACATATAATAGGGGGCACCGAGTTGAGGATGGCATGGTTCTATAGCCTAAAGGAAAGCAGTCTCTAGGGCCAATGGAATGGGACAACAAAGCACCATCTGAAAAGACAGTGACAGGAATCCTTCCAAGCCATAACCTACAGCATAACAGTCAATTGGAGCAGGAGGATGAAGCAGCATGGTTGCAGAAAATACCACCCAGTCAGCATATGCAATTTTCAAATCACTACTAGCAGATCAGGGTGAAGTTTGTCACCCCTGCAATATGCTGACCAGCCCGTAAAGATGCAGAAATCCACATCAGTAAATTTGGCCTTGCATCCAATGGAAGCTCCCCTTAACTGCTCACAGAATGGAAGTCGATACTTCCATCTTACATACATAGTCGTTTTTGCCAGGAGATTTATACAACTCTTTGGGCAAACAGATTTTGTTCCCTTTGATGTGTCTTAAGTCAGAGATGCTGTGTGAGATCAACAACTGTTCTCCTCCAGGAGAGGAGACTGAACTTGCATTCATGGGTCAAAAACCAGACCATGCTGGGTCTGGCGTCTGGTGGCTCCCCTCCACCTTAATGCAACCCAACCTGGATTCTGGCAATTTACGCCTCCGAACTCACTGTTATCCAGTGTGATCAGGAAGATTCTCTGGATCATGTGGTTGATGTTGAGCTGCTCACAGAGTTCCTGCTGGGAGCGAAAGGAGCGACTGATCTCAGCCACAGAGTAGTCGCAATCATCCAGACTCTCAGACACACTGTTGTCAGAATCATCTTGGCTGGCCGAGGTTTCCTCTATGAGAGAAGCACAGCTGGTCAATAAGCAGCCTACCCTGGCCCCAACTGGCCCACCCACCAACTCAGCAGTCACTCCAAGGCCTGTGCCTCTCGTCTGGGCTGTCACAGCATCAGAAGCCTAGTAAGGGTGCTTTTCTTTACAGGTGCCAACCCAGCAAGTGAACAAATTATAAATCATAAAAACAGGGTTCCTTCCTGTGAAAAAAGTGCAGAGTCTGCCTGCCAATAACACATACGCGAGACTTTATTCTCCTGGGAATTCCAGAACAATCCTCATGACTTCTGGAAAGCAAAAATCAAAGAGGCCACCTAACCGGCTGTCCTAACTGTTCTGCTCTTGCATTGATTTGCCATTTGAGAAGCTGGAATTAAGCTAGGAAAAAGTTAACACTCAGGATTTTAATACCTGCCAGGTTGTGCTATTCTAATTAGTGTTATTAGTATTAACCCAATGAATTAATCAACTAAGATCTTGCATTTCTTTTTCAATTCTGTTGCTGACCATCCACACTGTCCTAAAATTGGGCTAAATTTTCAAGTAAATTGTCTAACTTTGCAGGTAGATTGGTGGAGGCTGAGTTACCAGTGACCGAATAGGAACGGGATTTTGGATAAACGACAAAGAAACAAAATGGCTGTTATGGTAACACCGTTATACAAATACCGAACGCAGCTACGCTGGCAGATGCAGGAAAAAAGCAAGCCGAAGAGGACGCGCAAACTACTTCTCCGCGCGTATGGAGCCTGCCGTACCAGGGCCAGGGGAGGCGGCTTAAAGGGGCCTAAACTAGTCCCCCGCAGCCCCAGGCCGTCCGGCCCCGCCGCCCTCCAGCCCGGCTGCCTTGCCAGCCGCCCGGCCCCCTTGCTCACCCGCGGGTTGCGTCAGCGGCGGCGGCGGCGGCTGCTGCTTCTGGATCTCGGCGAACTGCCGGGCGTCGGCGACGGAGCTGAAGAGGGCTGCGAAGGGGTTCCGGGAGATGCTGTTATTGTTCTCGTGGTCGGTCATTTCCCCGCCGGGCGAGCTCCATGGAGGGCCGCGACTCCGTCGACGAGCGGAGGGCCCGCAGCCCCGGGCGCCCCCAGCGGAACCGCGCGCGCGAGGAGCAGGCCGAGGCCCAGCAGCAGTCGCGCCGCCTTACAGCGCTGAGCTTGGCAACGCGTGACGCCAGCAGGCCGCG